AAACAAATTTTATTATATACAGATGAAAGCCACACTCAAATACTACTTTTCTACATAGTCACCATACAAATTAAGGCATTTATCGTAGCGATGTACGAGCTTGGAAATTCCTTCGTCGAAAAATTCGGCCGCCTGCGCCTTCAACCACTTCGTTACCTCTTCTTGCAGCTGTGCGTCGTCATCAAAACGCTGCATAGCCAGCCACTTCTTCATTGCTGGGAATAGGTGGAAGTCGCTCGGTGCCAGGTCGGGACTGTACGGCGGATGAGGAAACAACTCCCACTTAAAAGATTCAAGAACTTTACGAGTGACATTTGCCGTGTGGGGCCGGGCGTTGTCGTGAATCAACAAGATCTTAGAGCTCAACATTCCTCTGCGCTTGTTTTGAATTGCTCTTCTGAGTTTTTGGAGAGTTTGGCAATACCTTTGAGAGTTTATTGTAGTGCCTCTTTCCAGGAAGTCCACCAAAATTACACCTTTTCTGTCCCAAAAAACAGTCGCCATCATCTTCCTTGCCGACATTGTTTGCATGCATTTCTTGGGTTTTTGGGGAGAACTTGTGTGCCCCCACTGCATTGATTGCAATTTCGTTTCACAGTTCACATGTTTCACCCATGTTTCGTCACCAGTAACGATGCGATCGAGTAAAGAGTCACCATCCTTATGGTAAGCGTCCAAAAAGTTCAACGCTGCAGCCATTCGCTGATTTTTGTGGTCCTCTGTCAAGATTTTTGGAATCCATCTTGCACAAAACTTGTGGTAACCAAGCTTTTCGCTGATGATTTTGTGCAACAAACTTCGCGAAATTTGTGGAAAACTCAAAGAAAGTTCCGTTATTGTGAAATTTCGATTTTCACGGACTTTAGCATCGACTTTTTCGAGAAGTTCGGCGGTCACTATGCTGGGTCTCCCACTTCGATCTTCGTCGTGAACATTGGTTCGGCCATTTTGAAATCTTATGACCCACTGACGCACTCCACCTTCAGTGATAATGTTGTCCCCATACACTTCACGAAGCTGCCGATAGATTTCTATCGGTTTACAGTTTTTTGCAGTCAGAAACCTTATTACTGAGCGCACCTCGCAGCTCGCGGGATTTTCAATTAACGCAGACATTTCAAACCGTCACAGTATCTGAACGGAGCACAGCACGAACCTCTCACTAGCACGGCTAGATGCAGACTGAGCTGCGCAACGCTCTGACCCCAAGATGGCCGCGCTAGCCCCGCCCCTAGCGGACACAGACGGAAACGTAATCTACTTCCTGGATGGCCCTCGTAATTTCTTGGTTGTTTTAAAGAAAAAGAGATGTGTAATTTATTTAGCTGTGTAAAACAATGTATTCTGTAAGATATATTGAAGTGATGTTGGATTCAATTTAATTTCACTCTGAAGTCACACACGATAAAGTGATTATATTCTTATTCATTGTGATGTTTCCAATTATCATTGCAAAATTGTCATCATAGCGGAATCTAACAAATATGCATAAAAGCATGTTTTGCAAATGTTTTTCAGAAGTCAAACAACAAAAATCAGCGTTATATTTTCAAATTTTCACAAGACTAGTTCGATGGTTTTATCGAACCATCATCCTCAGCTGCAAAAACTGAAATGAACGAGATAGGATATAATGATTAGATAAGATAAGAAAGCCTGGACATGAGATAAATAAACTAGTGGTGCCATCTGTTGATGAAACCAAGAACTAAAATATAATTTCTTTAACCACTTGCGCTAAAAAGACGTGCCACATACGTTGAGATGCTTTTGTTTCAAATCGCAAGCGACGTGAACACGGCGTCGATAGGCATTTATTGGAAAAATAAAAATAACATGGTGCACACGTTGCCTAATGACGAGATTGTTTATTTCTCGAGTTGCAGCTCTGGATTTCACTCGCAGATGCGGAACGGCGTAAATGAGACACTTTACAGCTTGTTATATTATAACGCACGGCACTGCAACCATGAAGTTAAGTTGTAGCGCAAGTGGTTAAAGGCCGAAGGCAAAGGTGGATTGGAATTAGGATCGTTCACTAGAACAGAAAGATTTTTTTGAATGTGAAATGCCTCTAGAAAATCCAGTTAAATATTTTAAAATTTCTGACCGGACAAATTTTATGCCCTTCATCCTGCAACATGCGAGGAAGTACTTGTTGGGAAAGCTAACTTTAACATTCTCTTTTTTGCTGCTTAATAGACGACAATTGCTCGTAGCTATTAAAAATAGGGATTTTTTAAACATGTGGAAGTTCGGGAACTTTCCTAGTTTTTTCCGTTTCGTACATATTTTGATCGCTAGAACACATCAAGGTTGTCGAGATTATTTTCCCAGTTATAGAAACATGGTGCTATCAGCTTTGAAAATATTTTTAAATCTTATTTGTATGTAAAAATTAAGTATGATTGTGTAGAGTAAAGCTTTTTTTACACCGCATAAATGTACTTTACCTCTTCTCCTGGAAAATGTACAGTCTCCGCTTCAAAAATAGGCATTGTCGGGAAATACTTTGACTGGGGCAAATGATTGGCTTCCTGACCTGATAAAGTAACCTGGGTGAAATTGCCCGCGAAAAAATATACCACGACGTCTTTGGAAACATTCCTACTTCCTTCTTTACATAAATGTTCTTTGGTTAAATTTAGGCTATTTTGTTACGACGAAATAGTCGAAATTTAACAAAAGAGCATTTGTGTAAAGAAGGAATGCTTCCACACAGACGTATATAAACCAGTTTAACTACTGCGCCGCTAAATCGTAGAGGGACAAGTTCTCGTGGCAAAATCGCCATGTGTATATGAAATTTAGGAATACAGTCCAAAAACCAACGAACTTACATGATTTCTTTTTTGACTAAGCGTTTCGTGATTGAGATTTTCTTTTATTTATTTATTTATTTTTTGGTTCCGTTCTCTCTCTTTTAACAATATTTGCATTTCATAGCGTAATTTTTACAATGCAACTCTGGAAGTGGTAGAACTGGATTTTACGGCGAATCCAGTGTTCTGAACTGGAAAAAGGTATATATATCTTATTTTTAGTTTCAATTCTAAAGTGAATATCAACTTTTTACGCCATTCGACAAAATTCACGATCTGCTTTCAATATTTAAAAATAAAATTAAAAATATTTTCTATATTTTATATATTTAAAAAAATTAAAAACAAGACATATAAGACCGATAAACTCAACAATATCAATGTTTATTGGCACTTATATTTCAGAATTATTGCTATACTTAGATACTTTTGTGCAAAACATGTAAATATTTTCTAAATTGTATAGTAATTATTTAGAATATAAGTCGGAGGGTACCAAACGCTTGTATGCTTCGTTAACCTGTATGTGGTAATTATTAGTGTGGCGCCTTACCTTGCAAATAGTTATGAAACATTTTTAAGCACTTTTAGGTTTATTGAGATTACGGTAAAGTACACTAAGGCTATCTGCTTAAGGGGAGAGATGCCTTCATGTAGGACTTTCTAAGGGAAACTGACTTGTATACACGTTACACATGGAGAAAACCATGAAAACGCCCATGCAGCCAGGCCGTTCGCGGGATTTTAACCTCTGACTGAACTACCAGTGATCTACGACTTAACCGCTCTGCTGCTGGTGGGCTTATATTTTTAAGTAAAATATGCCTATCAGATGCATGCAACATCAAATTTGAACGTATATGTTTTTTTATAATACGTCGCGGCGCGCAATGAACTGGAAGTTGATCTGTCAGCACTATCGTTATCTTCAGGGCAGATGTTTTTATTTTATTCGGCTTATAGTTCCTTACTAAATGTAGTATTTAATCTCGATGTACTCTGTCTTTGATATGATTTAAATCAAATTCCTCGTCATTATAAATATCACGAATACAAATCAAATAGTTTTCTGGTTATGCGTAAGGTATGCTTTACGCATGCGTGCGTTGAAAGAAATGTTTAATAAAGTAAACAAATAAATATTAAGCTTCTTTTTTTGTAAATTTTGATACTCTTTAGATCATAATTGCTCATTATTTTATAAATTACAGTTTCATATTTTTAATTTTATAATTTCTGCATGCCATCTTACCAGATTTAAACTGATGATCTATAATCCGGAAAAAACGATAATTCGGAATCGCCGAAGTTCCGACGAGTCCGGATTAAAGACTTTTGACTGTATATCTAAAATGTTGTGATGGATAGCATGACTATTAAGCAGGCAATTTTCCACTACATTTAGTCATTCAGTGACTCAAGGTCTTATAATATTTATTTTTCATCGTAATTTTCAGTGTCATTCTATTCTACTGAAGTAGTATCTCATGGCCAGGTACTTAGTGTTGCACCAATACATCATCTAAGTATCAAGAATTGTCAGGACTTCTTTCATTGTTCTGTAATTCGAATGTAATATCTGAAATTGGTATTTTATTTCAAATGAATAATAATTGATGAAATATTAGATTTTGTGCTTATATTAGTGTATTTGCGTTTTATGAATGAAAAAGTATAAATTCATTTGATATAAAGTGCAGTTTTTATATTATATAACTATCATGTGCATCACAAAGCAATATTATTGAATTATGAATTGAATGAATATGTCATTATATATGTTGTTATAAAAATGTCATTTCACCAAGACAATTGTAGGTGCGCTTTCGAGTGATGCAAAAAGAAAGAACAATAAAATAAAGATTTTACTAGCGGATTTCTGTAGTGCTTTGAATAGTTAGTCTAGTGATAGCCTATGAAGCGTTACATAATTTTTCGGTTTATCCAGTTCAGTCCCTGTTGTGTTTAAAACTTCCTGTAATATCTGCAATCTATTGTCTTGTATTACATTTCCAAGATTTCTGTATGTGGGAAAAATAGAGTTAATTGCTGCCTTAAAAATAAGAGATTTATTTATTTATTTTGCATGTTATGATTTTTCCAGTGGTATTATTGTTGTGAAATATATATTTGAAAACAAAAATTGAAATTAAATGATTTTTTCTCTCCTCTTTTCAGATTATGTCTATCATTATTAGACTCCAGAATCTGCCATGGTCTGCCAATTCTGTGGATATACGCCGTTACTTTTCCGGTTTGTCCATTCCGGAAGGTGGAGTCCATATCGTAGGAGGTGAAATGGGGGATGCGTTCATAGCATTCAGCACCGATGAAGATGCTCGTCTTGCAATGGCTAAAGATGGTGGCAAGATTAAAGATATGCAAATAAAACTTCTCCTCAGCAGTCGTACAGAGATGATGCGCGTTATCGAGCAAGCACGGCAACAGAACATTGGGGCTAGTGTTCAGCCGATTCAGCCAGCAATAATCCCTCCGCAAATTCCTGTTTTGCCTCCTCCTCAGCAACCTGCTAGGATCATGGCTCCAGCTGTAGACAGTGATAGAAGAGTTCGCAGTCCAAGCCCGCATCGTCGAAGTAGAGAAAAATCTCCTTCAAGAGACCGCCGTCGTACTCCAGATAGGCGCTCTTCTAAGCGCGATCGTAGTAGGAGCCCTGCTCGGAGCAGTCGTGGCTCTAGTAGAGACACTGACCGTCGTAGTGATCGCTTCAAAAGAGATGACCGACGTTATGAAGAATCGTCTCGTTATAGAGATGAACGGCGATCTGGAAGAGATGGGCAGCAAGAAGTAAAAAAGTATCCTGATGCAGACCACGTTAATAGTAGATCTCAACTTCATGCTACTGAAGGATTTCGAGAAACAAGTCATGGATTTTATGATAATGTAACATCTTCTGCAACAACTGGTAACTATTCTTATTCTAATCCGCAATCATCTGCAAACAGCAAAGTTTACCCTGGTGTTCTTTACAACTTACCATCTAGCGATCAGAATGTATCGTCACGTCAGACTGATCTTACTGGAACACAAAAATCTGATATTGCTCCTATATTAGATCCACGGACATCAGCTGGGCAACAAGCAATGCTTTATGGCGCATTAGGTTATGAACAAAGAAACACATCCACTTACGATCAGCAAAGTATTCCGCCTTTTGAGCAAAAAAATATTTCAGATTTTGAGCAGAAGAGCGTACCACCCTATGAGCAAAGGAATACTTCCTCTTATGAACAGAGGAACACTCCTACCTATGAACAGAGGAGCACGCCTACATATGAACTGAGAAATGCACCATCGTCTTATGACCAAAGAAATGCACCAATTTTTGATCAAAGAAACGTACAACCGTACGAACAGAGAAATCAGCCCTTGTATGATCAAAGAAATACATTACCTAAAGATACAGTTCCATCTACTAATAAGGACGAGCAGTTTGAAAAGCCACGACGTCGTACACGATTTGAGCCTGAGTTTCAAACTCCACAACAGACTCCTTTCTTTTCTTCTTCAGAACCTAATCACAAAGTTACTCTATCTGATTCACGTGAGTCACCGTCTTATAATGGAAATAAACAAATGCCTCCCGATCCTCGAGTTGGACCTCGAAGTGCTTGGCCTCGCCAAACAGAAGATCGCGTAGAGAATGCATCTTGGGCAGACAAACGTCAAGGACTGCTAGACCCTCCAGTTTCAAATAATAATGATTTTGTTCAGGTTGTACCTATGGAACTTGAATCAACTCCTGATGCTCCAATTGAAGAGAACATTTACATAAGACCGGAAGAACCTCAGAGAGGGCCGCTTTTGCCTTCTAGACCTGCGCATTCTTTTCCAAGAGGCAATTCACCAAGAAATGATGATGTAAGACGAGAGATGCCGAACAGAAGAGCTCCAAATGATCATCAGCAACATGTATCTCCGACGCTTACGGTTGAAGTTAGTAGACTTCCATCTAGTGCTAGAGTTGATGATATACTACATCTTTTTCGTGGCATCCCTATCTCCCCATCTAACATCCGTATTCAGACAAATGCTCAAGGAGCGGAAAAAGCGTTTGTACGGTTTGCAAATTCTGCTGATTTTGAGGAAGCTCTTACTCGACATACTCCTGGCCAGTTTGAAGTGCATTCATGTCCGTCTTCTTCATTTGATGCAGCCCTTCGTTCTCAAAAATCTCGCCCAAAACCGAAGCCTCGGGAAGAAGATTTGTGTGTTCAAATGCGAGGCTTGCCATTTTCATGTAAAGAAGACGATGTTGTGTGTTTCTTTGATGGTCTAGGAATTCTTGATCTTTTTATAGATGTCGGACCTGATGGAAGAGCTACGGGAGTTGGATATGTTGAACTCGGAACTCCAGAAGATTTTCGATCGGCACTTGCAATGAATGGTAAGATGATTGGTCACCGATACATTACGGTGTCTGTTGCTAGCAAAGAAATGATGGCTCTTGCAAAAGGAGAAGAATATGTTCCACCGCCGCCGCAACCAATAGGTCCACCTCGGCCTTCCGGACCTCCACGTCCATCTGGTCCTCCAAGACCATCTGGTCCTTCAAGATCATCTGGTCCTCCTCCACACAATCAAGTGCCTTCGAATCAAAATCGAAGTCCCTCATTCTGTATATCCTTAAGAGGTGTGCCAGAATGTGTAACAAGCAGAGATATAGCAGACTTTTTCAGTCAAGTGAATGTTATTCCTAGGGCTATTCATATTATGTTTGGTCCTGAAAAAAGACCATCTGGAGAAGCATTTGTGGAATTCACATCGAAACGAGAATTCGAAGCTGCGATGGAGACAAATGGTAAATCTCTACTCGGTAATCGATTATCTTTGATGTCTATCCCATTTAGGGAAATGAATGAAATTATAAGGAGGCCTAACCCATTACCTCCTCCTCCCACTCCTGGACCGTTACTTAGAACTCCATCTGAAATCGAGAGGCCTCGTAGACCTCTTCTTCCCCAAGCACCTACTGATGTGGCTTTCAGAGAAAGACCGAGGAGAGATTCTCCCATTCGGGGTAACCGACCTCGTATGGAACAGTTTAATCGCATGGAAGGACCTGGCAGACCACCTTTTTCACGTATGCGCGGACCTTACCCAGTAAGGCCTTTCGGCCCAGAAAGTCGTTTTCCCCCACCAGCTGATCGTTCGATTAAAGATTTTGGTGCTCCTGGTTGTGTAGTTTCAATTAACAACCTGCATTTTCGAGCAGGTTTAGAAGAGTTATTAGACTTCTTTAGGGGTTACACTATTTCAAAAGACAGTATTATTCGAAAATATAATGAAAATGGACAGACTACTGGTGAAGCTAGAGTATCTTTTCAGAGTCCCAGAGAAGCACAGAGAGCTGTCAGAGAACTAAACCAGAAACCAGTCATGGGACGACCCCTGACATTGTCAATATTATAGATTCATATTTATAAAGCTGTAAGTAAAAAGATCAGAAAGTGTGAATTGGTTTATTAGCTTCCTCTGAAGTAGACGTACTTGTAAAGCATGTTAAGGTACTACATATGTTTCACAAATCAACATATTCTGTACAGTGCATTCATTATATGTATTATGTCTTTGTATAAAACATCACTTGTAATTTGCTACTCATTTTTTTTTTCATTGGAAGTATTTCCAAATAATAAAGAATTTAATATTGATTTCACTATCGGTATTTCTTGCCTAAATAATACCTTTTTTTTTTTCATGATAGAATAACGAAGAAAAAAATACCCGAACCTCTATTCGCGTTCCTCCGATTACTGTTTCTCCTGCGCAGCTGCATCGGGTTCCGTTCAGGTTTGGTTTTATTAATGAATGTAGTGAGAAGTAGGGGAAAATCATGTTTTTAATATATGCAGTTTTGCAATGCACCTGTTGATTGCTGAAAGACTAAATATGCTTTTAATTCATCTTTTAGACATGTGCTCAGTGGAGTGGAAATAGAAAGGTACCTGTTTTTTATATTATTACATTAGTACTGTAAATATTGAGTGGAGTTTTATATTTTGAACATTATGGTGTCTGTACGAAATAAATGAGAAACACATTACTAAAATGAATTTCAAACTTTTTCAATCTTTGCGGTAAAATTAAATAAGAGATTGCAACTTTATGTTTAATTTTGTTTAATACTTGTATTATAAATAAATTCGCACGAGCTAGGTTACCAGAAAACTGTTAATAGCGACACGCACACACATACATGTGTTGTATATATATATGTACACATGTATACAGATATATATATAAATGTGCAATTCAGTCAGTTATGGGAGCACATCGCTTGCAAGATTTCTGCAGTCTTCTTAGTTACAAGAGTCTCGGTGATGATTGCGTTTCCAAGCCGAATATCATACTTCCAACCTTATTTCGGAGTACTAAAACTGAAAATTCAATTTCATAAATGAATAATTTAAGCAGAGAAAAAGAAACTATGCTAATAGCATTGACACTCTTTTTCTCATTCTTAAATTATTAAGTATTTGAGTGTTGACTAAATAAAAAACCGTGAAGATGCATATATTAGTTAATAAGTTGCAGTTTTCATTGAGTAAAAGTGAATGCATATACTGTTATGTATTCTACAAGAAAAGAAGCATTCCGGAACAACTTAGTGCATTATGGAATTATTATTTATCGAATAAATTAACACTATTTTCTAGAAGAGAAGTATTTAGTTGTCTCTGAAGACAAAGGGGGCGCTTAGCAATTCAAGTACATTAAATAGAAAATTCCTTTATACGAAATCTAACATATAAAATTACATTCAATACATTAATAGATATTTCTAGAAATCATAACTTATCAGGCTTAAAGATGGACAGAAATGGAGGTAAGTAATTTTTAATCATGCTTTGTGTTGGAAAATACAAAGGTTGGGGCAAAAGTCATGGCAACTATTTTTTTCTTGTAGATATGTGAACGGATCACTAAACCTATATATGTCATGTGGAAGTTCTGCAGGCATAGTGTGTATGCAGAACAACAGTGATAGCTGGCTCTGTGGTAGCGAGGGCTCTGAAATCAGCCAGTTGGTGAGTGCCATGCGAGACGGAAGTAACCCGTGTTGAGCAGCACGCTTACATCAAAATAGCCGTTCTCCGAGGGAGAAATGCGATGGAATGTCACAGTGAATTAGTAGAAGCCTTTGGGAATATTGCCCTACTATATCGTACAGTAGCACAGTGGGTAGGAAAGTTTCAGCAAGGACGTGTTTCAACCAGTGATGAGCAACGTTCGGGACGACCGGTGACTGCGGACCGACTTTGCACATGCCGTCATCGAGTACCACATGGATGAAGACAGACGATGGACATTACTGGAGTTAGAGAGGGCAAGTAGCATTGAGAAACGCACCGTCCACAGGATATTGCGTAATGAGCTAGCGTCAGAATCCTTCCCCAGTCAAATTGATGGTGATCGTCGCGTATCACGCCAGAGGTGTTATTGTTTGCCACTTTGTTCCTGAAGGCAGAACAGTGACCGCACAGTACTACAAGGACTTCCCGGTGCGATAGGTACGAGGTGGCGTTCAGGATAAACGTCCGGATTTTGTGGACAGTGCAATAATTCTGCACGACAATGCAAGACAACATAAAGCAGAGTGTGTAAGGCAGCTACTCCAACATTGGGGATGGGTAGAATTGGAGCACCCACTGTACTCTCCTGACCTTTCACCCTGTGACTTTGATCTCATTCCCAAGATTAAGGAACCAATACGTGGTAGACGTGGTAGGCGGTTTGTAACACGAGAGGACATTGCTAATGCTGTGCGCCAACAGATGACCCGATTCACACATGGTGCGGCAAATGCTGAGGCTGATGGTATTCAGCGCCTCCCACATCGTTGGCGGCGTGTGGTGACAGTAGCAGGGGACTACATTGAGGGTCTTTAGGCCCAGTTTTGTCATGTTAACTTTATGTGTATTGTGTTATTATTCTTTTGCACGGGGAAGGCTATATTGCCCTGTATACTACCGTAATAAATTCATGTGTTACGATATTTCAGTGCTATTCACTGTCCACGCATATAGTTAAGACCTTGTCCTTTCGTCTGTATATGTCACAATTTTCAACCGGAATGGTATCTTCAAGAAAAAAAGTAGTTGCCATGACTTTTGCCCCAACCTACGTATGTGCTTGCGTTTCGCTAAACAACCAAAATTAGCATCTGCATTTTTACAAAGACCTTCAGAAACTCAAGTAGAGTTGCACTAATTTCAAATTCTAATATCAGATGTTCCTATTAGGTACTGTTTTCGAGTACTATGTACTTTTTATTCCTCCCTTCAAAAGTCTTACTCTACACGCATAATCTGTTACAACTGGTGGACTGGAAACTCGGAGAACGGGCTGGCTGTGTAATTTTTTTTACTCATGTAACGTGTATACAAACCAATTTCTCTTAGAAAAAGCTCCACGAAGGCAACCCTCGCCTTAGGCAGATAGTCCTCGAGGCTTTGCCGTAATCACATAAGCCAAAAACAAACATTTAGAAAGTCCTCCACATGGCATCCTTTCCCTCAGGCAATAGCCCAGATGTTCTTTACCGTATTCACTTTAAATGAACAAACTTATTCTTAACAGAACTAAGTAATTCATTAATTCATATGACAGGAAGCTTTTTGAAAAGTAATTTAAATGGCACAATCATACTTAAAATAAAATTATAATATTTTTCATAAATAATTCTGGTGCCAATTACTGATCTTAAACTGAGATTGGGTTATTTGTTGTTATGTTTCCAAATATGTGATGAACATGTATATGGTTACTGTGAGGGATTAATGTAATAATGAGTGCTAATAAACAAATACATTATATAGTCAAAAGTCAATGGGCACTTAAAATTTATAGGTAAATGCGAGACGGGTTGTTGTCTAACTGTGGTAATGTAAATAAAATTCGACTCTCACTTTCCGGTAATAATTCAAAGAAGAATGCATTTAGAAGAATAACAACAAAATGATTTCGAAATCGATTTCTGTACTGTAAAAATAAAAAATATGACGTGTACAACACGACTTCCTTGTACGGAATATTAAATTATAAGCATTTTTTCTTGCATTTCATTTAAACTTATTGGATTGAATTAAATCTACTTTGTCGACAGCGCATAAACCACAATATAATAAATGCACTCTTTAAAATTCACTATATTTGTTTACCCTAGTGACACTCTGGCGCTAGGTTCACTTAACAGTGTTATATTTCGTTCATATTATAACTCACAATGCACAAAATTTATATCATTTGAAGAATTATCTAATCGTTGCCACATGTTCTATTCAAATACTATAATAAAGCTAGAACAATATATAAAAGAAACAGTGTTTTGCAGACAATTTAGTACTTCTCATTCAATTAATTCAGTTCACACTTCGCGACAAGGCAAAAATACATAAAAACTCAAAATATCTATATTAAAAATTACGAAGTAAATCTTAAACACTTATTTCCTCGAAAAAATTCCAGAAAGGATTAAGCATGATTTAATTCGCAATAATAAATGAAGGTGTTATCTTTGTTGTTGCGAGCTAAGTTTCTCTAGACTGGCAACAAATCCACTATTCTGCTGTTTTAAATGTAAACAAGCAATGGCCGCCATCAAAAACATTATTAGGCTTACCGGCACTCCAGCAACTTTAAAATTGTTGATAATTCTAAAATATTGCATATGCAAAATTAAAGATAAGAGAAATTGTAGAAAGCTCGCCAAAAAGTTAACCAGGAGCTGTGGCTCCAAGAAAAGTTCAACACATTTAAAAAAAAAAAAAACAATGTCATTGAAGGGTGAAAAATATGCTATGCGGTAAATTAAATATATATATATATAAATATATTTATATATGTTTGGTGCGGCCGATTGCTACATGTTATAACAGTCCTATAATACAAAATTTCAACGTTCTGAGGCTACTCGTTTTTGAGTTATGCGTGATACGTACGTACATACGTTCGTACACTGCCTGAAACTTTTCGCGATTACAATAATACTTCCTTTTTACTTTGTACAAGGAAGTAAAAATGAGCTATAACTTTAAGTTTCTGCCCCTTCCCCATAAGAGGAATTTTCCACAAATTGTTATTTCCTGAAAATGTAATGTTTATTTTAGCATTAAAAACACATGCTCAGTTAAAATTAAATTAATTTTTTTTTAATGCTATTATATCATCAAATATTCGCTGTTTCCAATTTAAATTTCATTTAAATGTTTCTCTTGAATGCAGTCACGTTTTTCATTAAACTGTTTGAAAACTTTGCGTGTTATTATAACAAGGGGAAAAAAAAAAAAAGAGGAATTTAAAAAAAGAACGTGCTTTATTTAGTACGCTTGTGATTTTTACCTCTACTGTATATAGCGTATACGAAGTTTTGTTAAAGTTTCAGATTATTTTCTGGACACTGGGTGATCAAAAATCATTTTATTGTTGCTTCTTTGTTTTCATAACTAATTTTCTGGTGGAAAATGTGAGCGCAAGAGTGTCATTTGCATGGACATAGAATTATTTGTGAGTATTTCTGTTGAAATTTGAAAAAAATTCTAAAATCCAAAGTGTCCAGTGACTTTTGGCTGTATAATGTATATGTTTCCGGATCTATGAAATGCTGGCATTCTGCAGAATACCTAGGCATTGTATGCCTGGCATTTTTAAGCAAAG